AAGGAAAAGAAAAAAAAAAAAAAAAAGAAATGAGTGGCCATACCGAGCAAAACTGCGATCGTTAAACGCAGCGTATACGCATGTGGCCGAAAAGCGAGTCTCTATTTTATTATTATTATTATTTTTTTTTTGATAAATATATAGTAGTTGTGCGGGCGTATATAGTATACGTGTACGCTCGGTGACACACATATCACCGCGGGCGACGAATAAAAAGGAAATTACCATTCTACGACCATAAACTCACCTATTTCTTTATTTCCCAGATCGCGATAACATATTGAGATTTGGCTACTTTTATAAATATATATGTATATACACGTATATACCAAACGGTGACATCGACGATTGTTTGGACACAGTTTTGCGCGCGGCCAAAGGGGCAAGGGGTAAACGACCTGATTTTCGCTGCTTCTCTGCACTCGCGTGTCTCTCAGCCTTGCAGGTATACCTGTATATAATATGCTAATCGATGCAACTCGATCGAAAAAAAAAAAAAAAAAAAAAGAATATGTGAGTGCATCACGCCGTTGGGGACAGAAATAAACTGATGCGCCTTTTATTCACTTCTTCTTTTTCTGCATCTTAATTATCTCCCATGTACAAGAGCGGCGGGGAGCTCAGAATTATTTTCAGCCAAATAAGCATTTTCGGGGCCCATTACAACTTGCATCCACTCCTATACGATGATCAATGATGTACCTTCGAAATGATATTGTTATTGATGGCAGTAAAAAAAAAAAAAAAATAAATAAATAAAAGGCCCGAGAGAAGTTGGTGTTGTTGTTATTGTTGCGAGCGTCGAGCCGGTGGTTAATGATGCAAGGGGTTGGTCGATCGACCGGGTACCGTCTCCTTTTTTTTTAAATTTTTTTATTTCCTAGTCCCCTTCTCTTTTATACGTCCGTGCAATATACTTACATATGTATATGCACAAACAAACAAAAATGACATATCCTCTTGGTTGGGGTTTAACGACCCACAAGGTCGCGCCGCGCAAAGTGTGTATTATTTGCGCTTGGGACGCAAACAGGATACATCTGATTCCGGCCAATAATAAACAATAACAATTGCGCAAAAGAAAAAAAAAAAAAAAAATTGCACCCACCCGACTGCAGCATGTGATCGCTTATTGTATAAATATACCACATCGTGTATATGGCTTTAATCGCAGCAAATCCGCCGATCTCTGTCCCCCACCCCTCATCTATATACCCTTTTTCACGATGTCTTTTTTTTTTTTATTCAATTAATATATGCATGCGTGCGCGCGAGAAACAGGAAAGTTTTGGAGTGAGAGGCATTGTGCGCGTGTATCGTATACATATTATGTTATGCGTTTCGGCTTCAAGGGCACGGGTACGTGTGCGCGTTATTGGGCATTTGCGTGATTTGTGCCGTGTGTCTATTATATCGATATTTTTACTAGAAGAGCTTGGGGTTTGCTGTTATTTGTTAATTTTTTTTTTTTTAATCTTCACGATTAGTTTGGTTTTTGAATAACAGGGATGCCTGTCGTTTCTGTAGGTATAGGCGAACCATGCCTTGCGGGGTTACAACCTCGATTGCCTCAAGGCTGTGGGTATATATATTATACCAAGATGGGACGGTGTAATCGTTATTTAATCGCGCGTCCGATTTCGTTTTTTTTTTTTTTTTTTTTTTTTTCTTTCTCAACAGGATATCCGAGAAACTTTAATCACGCTGATGTTTTACATCATGCGTAAATGGAGGGTGGTAAGAAATAGTTTCATCATTGGCACGTGAATTGAATTTAAAATGGGCATTTGTCAGAACTTGGTCTAAAATCAGGAATGGAATCCATACACGTTGCTTGAACGTACATATATGTATAAGTGTGTAAATTGTTTTGCATGAAAAACGACAAAAACGAGCTTATACATTTTTCTAAAAGGGAAAAAAAGGTCCAGCAAGTCATGGGTTGGCTGCACGCAGACGTCCTCCAATGGTATATATTTAAACCTAGACTACTTTTAGATACATGTACGAGGTGGAAGAAAAAATGAGCAAACGTGTGAATCACTGATGGAAAGAGCGAGTAGGGGTGGAAAAAAACTCGGGGGACAAGAAAGAGCTGGTTGGAATATTTCGGGGAGATCGTGGTGGTTTTTATTACTGTCTCAAATACTTTTACCCAAGTGGGTGACAAAAAACAGTGTGACGAATTTCGCGGTGCCCCAAGGACCGGATTCGAGTTTTAGATACTTCGTTTGTGGTTCTGGAAAATTTTGGTTCGACGTTTTTTCCAGGCTATTTTTCGACATGGATAAATTATTGATCAAGAGTTGGTAAACTTTTTTTATCGGGGTGCCAGAATTTCGCAGAACGATTTTCAATGGATTTTTCTATTTTTATTTTTTCAACAACTTTTTGATCAAGATAAAATTACGTTTCCGGCATTTTTAATACTTTCCGTTGATAACAATAAATTTCAATGAAAACAAGAAAATTAAAAAAAAAAAAAAAAACGCCAAAGTTTCAATAAACGATTTGCTTTTATGCTAAAAATTGTTTAGAAAAAAAATTAACGACGTATTTAAATACAAATTGAAAAGTTGGTGCATGTAAATTATTACGCAATCAACAGGATGCACGTACGTGTGACCAACGTTGCCTAAAAATAAAATATACGCAACCTTCACGGGGGTTTTCTAAATTTTTGGAATAAACACAAGCTTCCTCATACCGATCTTCAAACTCGTTTTTGACGATTTACGTTTTAAAAATTTATCACCAGGGGGCTTTTCACAAGTTATCCTTAATCTTCAACTTGTTTCAAGTTCACGGTAATATCCCATTAAGTAGTGATTTTTTCATTGATTATTTTAACGCGAATCAAGTTCAATATATTTTGACTCTTTTTATTTATTTATTTTTATTTTATTTATTTTTTTTATTTTTTTTTTTTTTTTCAATAGGCTGATGTATTTTACTATGACGTGTTAGTAAATTACCTCACGAGATAAGATAAAAGTTAAATGAATTACGCACATGAACTAAAAAATATTACAAACTAATCACATTGGCTTTTACCGTTACAACTAAAACACGATAAGTCCAAAATTAAACAAAGTAAAATTAAATACCGTACGTGACATGCAATAAAAGAATAAAAAAAATTATATTTTTTGAAATTAGTTGGTAATCAATTATAAAGCACTTCAAACCTTTTTTTTCAACATCAACGTACACATGCTAACTGATCATCATCACTAGAAAAACGTTTAACACCACCGTAAACGCGTAAAATTTGTCGCAATAAAAATGGAACTTTTTACAAGTGCATAAAAGCTCGTAAATTTTTCTCCGTAATACTGTTGATCAAAAAACTAAAAAATCACCAACTAGGCACAACAATGGTCAGAAAAAACAGCACGATATTCGAGAAAAGTATGGGAATAAAAATTATATAAATCACGCACTACCAGGAAGCGCCAATCACCGATGAAATATGCAATAAAAAAATTAAAAAAAAAATTTTTTTCTTAATCCACTATCTTTCACAGTCAAAAAAATAGAGACAGAGACAAGTACACGTTTGACGTCAGTCGCAGCCTGTCATCATCACGAATTTCCTCGCTCGAGCACGTGGCGTCCGCCCCTCTATGCACTGCAGATGTAAGAGTTTGTCCCCTCGAAAGACTTGATCGCCAAAACGAGAGTACACGTGGGAAAACCAAAATTCGTAATACGATGCTATACGCGCATAGGCTCCCTGACCTTCCGGTTTCATTCATGAGAACTTTGCCTCTTGCAGATCTGCACTCGGCCAATAATTTTTAAACCGCAGCCCAGCACATGTAAAGTTTTTAAATGACAGAAAGTTTTTAAAAGCTTTGAGCCTGTACATGAGACATAAAAATAAAAATTGTATCATTTTTCAGTGATTATTGTGTTGAAAGTAGAATATCGTAAAGGTAGGACCAAGTGCCATTGTGGAGGACACACTATTGGCAAATTTAAAAATAACTTTCGCCAAACCTAAAATTTTTTACGCGTCACGGTATTCATGAAATGTCGCAAGGCAGAGACACCAGCTATAAACACGCGGAAGTGTCCATTGATCAGCAGCTCACAATTTTTTTTTTTCCAACAATTAATATCATTTCCTGAACGAAGGTGGCTAACCTGATGCAAATAAATGCACGCCGATCAACCATACTTATCGCGTTGGCCATCACAAGCTCATTTTTTTTTTTTTCCACACCCATGTAATACAAACGATACACTCGAATCAATGAAAAAAGAATCGGTTTCAATATAATCCTCGAGCGTAAAAGGACGAAAAGCCACGCGCGTCATCGAAGCCGCATTTTTCTTTTCACTTCCGAATAACTTTTCTTCTTTTTTTTTTTTTTCTCCGATAACAATGCGGGCGATGTCAACCAGATATAGTTTGGGAACAATTTTTTTCCCACATCACGGCCGCGGAGAGCCGGGAAACCACATCAAACAGGATCAACGGCAATCCACGTCCGATCGATGATGCATGGCTGGATCACCTGTAAATACGGTGATTATCTGCCGAGTCACTACGGCGCACAACTCGCGGGAGATGGAAAGGTCTTAAGGAAAAAAAAAAACAAAAAAAAAGAAAAATGTCTCCAATACTATATACGCACTTTTGCGATGACGTATTATTTATTTACTCACCCGAAATTTGCGTGAAAACAAACCAATCCTGGCAACGAATCGTCCTGCGCCCGTGCAATTGCACGCAAACAGCCCACAGAAGTTGCAGAAAAAGACTCGCGGTAGCCGGATGAACTTTCGATCGAAGATCGGTATCGGCAAGTCATACGCGTGGAGGTGCATGGTACCGATGCAGGCGGCTATCATAGAAGAAGGAGGAGGAGAGCCGCGGGAGTGGTGCGTGCGAAGTGGACACGAGGCGGCGAAAAAAAAAAAAAAAGAAAAAGGGGGAACCGAGTAGGTAGTAGTCCAGCGAAGCCGATATATAAGACTGGCCGGAGCACGAGGCGGTTTCAGTCTCCGAAAGCGGGACAGTGCGCCAGCACCCTTCATCCACTTGGCGGGAGTCGACACTTGGACCATTGTTTTTTTTAATTATTCATTTTTTTTTTTTTTTAATCTTCGTGACAGAGGAGTGGAAGAAAAAGAGGAGCAAAGGGTTTGCGGGATTTTTACGGGTGGTACGACTAGTGAGGAGTGAGACGACCCGAGTGTAGATTTCGAGGAGCTTGCAGCGGCTGCACACTGTGGACGCATTTTTCGCAAAAGTAAGTGGATACTGTCGGTTCCCGGCCTTCGCCAGTGTGGTACTTTTTTTTCTTTATTTACTATGGGTTTCGTACTTGTTTGAGCGATTTTATTTCATCGGGCGGTATTTTCTTTCGAAACTGTGTATTATGCTTTTTTGCACTTTTTTTTTTCTTGCGCGCGTATACACGATATTGAGGTCTCGAAAAAAAGCGATAAAAATGATTGCCTTGTTTTCGCGTTTACTCCTATTATCAGCAAGGATGTCTATGCATGCGTAAACGTGAACTTGTTTTTAGTTAATTTTTTTCCATTTTTAAATTAAATAATTCAACAAACAAAAGTTTCCGAGGAAAAGCGATGACAAAGAGCGCGTGCGACACTTTTTTGTCCCAACGCAAATGGAGACACCTATTGAGAGAGATATTGCTTTTTTAAGTAATACAAACGGCTAATGAATCGAGCGGCCTCCGCGAGGATTCCGATGTAGGAGCGAAAAACCGGATTGCCGACGCGCCGATCCGATCGGAGATACCCCGATGGTGACGATCTTTGTAATTTCGATTACAGCAGTTGGCACGGAGGGGAGGGGAAACTACTAGCGTACTTGCAATCGCGTTACGGGAAATGATCGTCGAATCCATTAAATCGGTGAATCCCCGGTGCCGTTAATTTTGTTTCTCGAATGGATCGGTATGGTAATTCAACCCGTACTATTTTTCCAACCGCTTCCTAGACGGCTGTTAAAATTTTTCTTCTTCATACGATTAAAACACAATTATCCTCGAAGACTTTCAAGCGCGTGCACGCCCGAAACGCGTTGTAAAACTTTTTTTACATCTCTCGAGAAGCGCCGATTCATCCGCACGGCCGCGGTCGGCAATAAAACCTCACCGAAGCAGAGAGTTCAAAGGAACAACAAGCCTCCTTGCCCGGGAATCCAGAATTAATCGTCATCGCGTCCGCCGCTGAATGCCAAAGCAGCCCGAGTTGCACCCCGAAAATTTATCTACCCATCCGCGGCGCAAATATACATATCGCTCCGCAGCTCCCGCTGAATGACGATTAAACAACACAACGAGTCTGTCTTCTTTGTCCTTTTTTCGATGGACAAAGCCATTTCGATTGCGTTGCGCTCGCCATTACGCACTTTTTATCCGTCAACGCCGCGACACAGAAGAAAAGAAAACTCCATCATGGAATCGTTGATTCGTGAAAAGTTCATCGTCCAAAGTCCCGGTACACCGACTAATCAATACCCTCGTGCCACCTCATCCGTAACGTACCATCAAATCCATAAATAACGAGGGATCGGTAGGCCGTACAGTGAGCGTCCATGTCACAATAATCGCGGGCACAACGGTGGGCGCTCGGTATCAGCTGCAATCGCGTGGGTATACACCGATCGCGGCTTTTATGCGCACACGAGATACACCTATATGTTGATAAAAGCACCTTTGGCATGAATTAAAGGATTTTCCGAGAGCCCACGCGCAAACGAGAACGGCTAGCCGCCAAGGTCGTTTGCGTGTACAATTCGTTTAGTCGACGACTCGATACCGATTTTACGTTCTCGATTTCGTTGTGCGACAGCGTTTTTACCGTTTGATTGTGTCCGATTCTGTCCTCACTTGTATACCTTTTTAGTAAAGATTTCAACAACCGTATCGGTAAATAAACCGGTTTTTTTTTTTTTTTTTTTAATGCGCCGTGGTTGTGTTCATGAACAACAAAAGTTTCTTTGATTAGCGGGTAATTTAGCGTCAGCGAACGCATGGCCTGAATGACGTATCGAAATCGGTCCCTCCGAAAATTCTTACCGATATGTCATATCGATTATACGCGCTTGCATGGGGCCCCTTGGATGACTTGCATAATAACGGCACCCACGTATACGAATACGATACGAACGAGCCTCGCGAAATCATGATGCTTTTCGCCGACCCAACGCATCCATCGTCGATTTGTAGGCAGCGAGTTTCAAGGTGCGTGCGCGGCTGCTTGTACGAATTGCCTAGTTGGAAACTCCGTGACGTGCCACTGCATGGCTTTTGTCCTTTTTAATACTCTTATTTTTAACGATACAAAGGTGTTTGCGCGCCCGTGTCTTCGATACCGATTTTTTTTTTTTTCAGTAGGGTCGTAGCCTCGAGAGCTTTAAATAAAGGAGCGCGTGCTCGAGCAATTTTAACTGGGTTGCAGTGCCTGCAACTACATTTTTTTTTTTGTTTTTTTTTTTTTTTTTTGTTGGATCGATCGCTCCCACCTGGCAAAGTAAAATGGAAAATCGGTTCGACGCTCGGACAGTTCATTGTTCTCAGGATTTTTCTCTCCTGCGTCCGGTGCAATTGCGCTTGACGATATATAAAATAGAGAACGAAAAAAAAGCTAATGACAGACCCGACTTAGCGCACAGTAAAAATTTTGTAATTACGAAAATTTTGCAATCCCCGCGCGATTAGCGACCACTCTCAATGTCATCTTCATTCTTGGTTGGTGTTTTTGTCGCGTTGCAGTCACATGTTTTTTCCTCTTATCCTTTTTTTTTTTTTTTTTTTTTTCAATTACAAAAAATAATCTCTTCTCGACGAAAAAAAAAAAGATGGAAAAAATTATTATACCACACAATCGGTTGCATAAGCAAGCAACTGGAAAAAAAAGAAAAAAGAAACACAACGGCGAAAGCACATCCTCAAAAATACACCACACGGTTGGATGACATTACACGAGTTGGGAACGACTTTTTTTTTTTTTCATCATCGCCGTCGGTACCTAAGCAGGCGCTAATCGGTATTTACATAGACACAGCCGAAAAAAAAAAAAAAAAAAAACCTGGTCCAGCGCACGTTTTCCCGCATTTTCTCTCCACCCCTCCCCCCTCGCGCGACGACGTTGCTTCTCCATTATATTGTAATATACATACCCGTATCCCCGAAGGTCGCGCAAACTCGCCGCGCGCGTTAATTTCTTATCTTCCGCAATCCTGCGCCTCCTCTCATCTTCAAACGCGTGCTTATCCCCTCCCTCTCACTCCGTTGTACACACTAATGTGACTACTTATCATGAATTATGAATATTGTTATTTTTTCTCATTTGCATGGTTCTCACTGCCCCGTACCTTGGACGGTTTCCCATTTTTTTCTTTTTTCTCTTTTGATATCCTCCAATCATGTATACAAACTGCTTTTGGCTTCTTGATCACTCGCATCTCATTGGAGTCGAAAATTAATTTACAAAAAAGCGATCCTCCGAAAATAGATAAAACTCATCCGTAAATTCGAAACTTATGTTTAACCGAGTACACGCGTTAATAAACAAAATCGTTCATACGCCACGATCGGGGGGGTAACAGCCATAAAGGCTCCCTTCGACCCCGAAGGAAAAAGGAAGAAAAGCTACATTGGCACAAAGCCCAATATAAGCCGACACACACGCGATATAACGAGAGACGCAGACCCAATTCAAAACCAGTTCGTTCGCCGTGTGGTGCGTACAGGTGTATATTTATATATATATATATATATATACATATATATGATGGAAAAAGGGGGTAGTAGCGCAGTTGCAAAGAGCACAGCAGCAGAGGAAAAAAAACGTACTTATACGCGATAGTGAAAGGATAAGGCAGCTGCGTAAGGTTTACGGCACTGCAGTGTATATGTAGAGACCTTTTGCGATTTGCAATCAGCGTCGGGGTAGGGGAAGGGGCAAAAAATCGAGGAGAACGGGAGGAGCCCGCGGCCGAAGGTTTGCAAAGTCGAGGACGGTTTTACAACTTGAAATTTACACAATTATTTTATTTATTCATTTTTTTCGTTCCTTACCACGATTATCCGCAAATAACCACAATCGGGGCATTTTCATGAGCTGTAAGAACGCGAAATACGTACCTATATCTGTTTAGCGTAAACGAGAACTCGCGACTTGATCGAGGAATAATTAAGCAAATATCAAGGCAACGGTGGATAATAAAATCTCGTGCGCTACACATATAAATGTATATAGTCAAAGGTGCTCGCTGGAAATATTATACATGAGATCGCGTGTACGTGGGTATATTCTTATTTCCCGAGAAGGTAATTAACCGATTCTCGAGCGCACCCGCGTGAACGCACTCCGCGCTATGCGCTTATTATATACCGCGATTACATGCGCGCACACGCCTTACCTCGTATATATATACATATAACTAAAACTCCTTTTGCCGTTGTTGATTATTGTTACTGTGTACGATGTGTAATATTTATTCTTTGATTTCGTTTTTTCCGGCGATGATGCGCGTGGAGTCGCAAAAGAAGTCTTAGTTCGGAGGTCCCCTAAACATGATAGGAAAATATTAGATGCATACGAGAACAAATCAAGCAAACACACAATTTTTAATTTCAAATTTTGTACAATTACCGACTTTCAGGGTAAATATTATAAAATAGGTTATTTTTCTGCACAAAATATTAAAATAATTGTGTACAACTCCAAGTTTCCGAGTTAAAATTTGTTGAATTCAGGATACAGTTAGTGAGAAGTATATTATTATAAAGAGGTCTTTTTTTTTTTTTTAATCTCCATAGGGACGTTTTTGTGTGATTTCTCATACAAGTGATCCCTTTTTTTTTTGTCGCTTCTGATCGGTAATACAACACAGGGACATTATTTTGATAAATGGGTCGAAAAGCGAGTGCCGATGAAACTATGTGCATAAGATAATTATTAATTCGTCATTCACTTACGAGATAAAATGAAAACTTTTGAAAGCGTATATTCATTACACCTACCTTGTACTTAATATACCACGCAGTGAATATATTACACACGCGTCGAATGAAGGGATAATAATTATATACTAATTAGCTTACAAATAAGCGCGTATTCTCACGCTCCGATCGCAATCCCATGTGTATGGCCATATTGTAATTAACGCAACAAGTAAAACACACAGCTGCATCACGTTGCCGCGAATTTTAACATACATGTACATATGTGTACATCCAAAGCTTCGATTTTCCGGATTTACGAATACAATCGATACGAACTGGGACGTTTGTCGCAATATATTTTCATATGATTATCAATTAAAAAAAAAAAAAAAAAAAAATTAAATAAATAAACAAATAAATAAATTAAAAATAATGAAATAATGGCAGATGGCGCAATACGTGCGTATGGTGTACGACGGGTATCGGGACGTGATGGACAACAAAAGCGATCCCAGGGTGAACGACTGGTTTCTGATGAGCAGTCCACTGCCGACTATGGCGATATGTCTCTTCTATGCTTACTTCTCCAAAGTCCTTGGGCCAAAACTCATGGAGAACAGAAAGCCGTTCGATCTCAGGAAGGTCATGATCTGGTACAACGCCTTCGAAGTCGTTTTCTCGTCGTGGCTCTTTTACGAGGTGAGTTTTTTTCTTTTTCTCCCCACCTCATTTGACAATTTTTGCAAGAAAACCATAATCTCTTTTCTATGCTTCTCTTCATTTCCACTCAGTGCCTGATGTCCGGCTGGTACAACGATTACTCGCTGAGCTGCCAGCCGGTCGACTACTCGCGCAGCCCCAAGGCCATGCGAATGGCCCGTGGGTGCTGGTGGTACTACTTCTCCAAGTTCGTCGAGTTTGCCGACACCATCTTCTTCGTGCTGCGCAAGAAGAACGACCATATATCCACGCTGCACGTGATTCATCACGGAATAATGCCGCTGTCCGTTTGGTTCGGCGTTAAATTCACTCCCGGTAAGTCGAGACCTTTGCTTTGATTTACCCTTTTTTTTGCCGTTTTTTCGTCCGTAAAGCCTTTATTGGTCGGCTGTTTTGCTCTCTCGAAGGGGCTTCGGACATGGTTTGCCAATTTTTGTGTACGTACGCTTTAAGTAGAGATACTTTTTCTACGAGCTATGAAGTACTACTTAATAATGGCTACTTGACTTTAAGACCATTATGGAATCAAAATTCTCATACGGGTCAACGTAAATGAAATTTAAACTTAAAAAAAAAAAAGAACCAAAATTATTCACCCATAGGGTCTCCGAAGACTTGACAGAAAAATGTACATCATTTTGTAAGGGTTTGTACTAATTTTGATTAAAAAAACGATATTTTATGGATCAAGTCAAGACATTTTCAAGGAAATTCCACTTGATTTACCAAAAACCTTTTTTTTTTTTTTTTTGCCATTTAACTTTAAATAACCCAGAAAGTAAAACATTCTTTCCAGTTGTGAGTTAAAGACAATACACTCCTTATTTTCATAGAACCATTTTTTTTCTACGAAAGATGATTAAGAGATATCGTTGATATTTAACGTTGGTGAGCCTCTTCGACAAAGCTCATCGCAAACCAAGGGAGGGAAAAAAAAAAAAAAAAGTACCACCAATGACCCCACAATGTGTTAAAACTCACGATTGTTCCAAAACACCAGGCGGCCACTCGACCTTCTTCGGGCTGCTCAACACCTTCGTCCACATAGTCATGTACACGTACTACCTGCTCGCCGCCCTGGGACCGAAAGTCCAGCCGTACCTCTGGTGGAAAAAGTACCTGACGGCCCTCCAGATGACCCAGTTCGTCGCCGTGATGATCCACGCGTTCCAGCTCCTCTTCATCGATTGCAATTACCCGAAGGCCTTCGTCTGGTGGATCGGCATGCACGCGGTGCTCTTCTACTTCCTGTTCCGCGACTTTTACAACCAGGCCTACAACAAGAAGAAGGAGAAGAGCCTCAGGCTCGAGGCCAAGGCCAAGGACGAGGACCGCCAGAAGAGGAGCAAAAACGGCTCCATCTACCCGAGCCAGTACAAAATGGCCACCGCCTACATATCCGACAGTGGGCTCAGGAATCGGGTGTTCATCGACAACCGAAGCGGCTACGAGGAGTGAACGCGCGTGTCTTGGTTTATTCTACATTTTTCCCTTATTTTATTTTTTTTTTTTCTACTCCAAGTACGTCAATTCTTGAAAATCACTTCTCACCCTCAAAATAATGGATCATCGCTCAGTGAAAGGACGTCCGTTTTCGGGACGATTTTTTTTTTTATCGCTGTTGTGCAGCGATCGCTCGATCATGATGATGGAAAAAAGGGAGAGAATAAAATAATCCTGGACTCTTGGTTTTAATTCGGACTCACCTAGACGACTGTTGCTGTCGCGCTGCGAATGTCGCTCCGGTTCGTGGCGCGAATTAATCGTGTGTACATTTGCAGAGCCAGTGCGAGACAAGTGAAAAACTTGCGCGAAAATTTGCGACGAGTAGCGTGTGAAAGACTTTTCTTTTTTTTTTTTTTTTTAATTCATTGATTATTATTATTATGATCGTTATTATAGATTTTTTTTTTTTTCATTTAGTTGATGTGTATCATCGAATAATCATATTTGGGTGCGAGAGTCTTGAAGAGTTTGTGTGCACGCCTATGCGATATGTGTGTGTTTGTAATGTGACTGTGCGAAAGACGGTAAATAATATATAGAGAACGAAGATACATGAGTGTTACTTAAGGCTGTTTAGAAGGTCACAATAATGATGTTCAAACAAAACATTGGATCAATGTAAATCGAAATGTGTAAGAAACAAAGATGGATAGTTGAGACTTGACAATTATCTTTTTTTCTGATTTTTTTATTTATTACGTGAGCTTTCAGGACTGATGAACTCGTCAAACTACAGCTTTCTTTCACGACAGTTTGAACAATAAAATGTAAAAGGGTAAACCTTCTACTAGTCATCGCAAACATCAATTTTCGCATACAGTTTCTTCTTTCTTTTGCGCAAAGTAATAGAGAACTTCGAAATGGGTGTGAAAATTTTTGCCCAATCGACGATTGTCGATCGTTTAGCCCTTACTTTGTAAATTACAAGCTCAATATTTGTCGGAAAAAAAAAAAAAAAAAAAAAATACGCAAACGCAGGAATGTTATTTAACAACGATTGAGTGCCAAAAATTAATTGTAAGAGCCATAAAACTGTTGAGAGACGCCTTAGAGTTGGGTAGAAAAGCCAGATTGTTATTTATAAGAGATTCTTGTAATTTTTTTTTTTTTTTTTCACCGTCATGCTCAATTGCATGTCAGACGAATCTCCTATGAAACTATACTTTCAAACGTTATCGTTTAAGCGACACGGCATTTATATATTTATTCTCATTAATTCTTAGTTGTGTAATTTCTGCTGATCTGATTTGACTCGTTGAAAAATTTGTAATGTATACAAGCGAATCGTTGAATGATCTTTCGCAAAGTCACCTCGATCAGGATACGACTTGAAAGTGTCTTTTGTTCGAAAGTAAAAAAAATAAGAAATCGTAAGTTTGTATAATCAATTAGTGGGATGTGTTGTAAAAAAATAAATGATAACTATTTTATACATACTTTTTTTTATTATTATTTTCCATTCATTTCTAAAACTCCAACGCGTCGTGGTAAATGGGCCATTTGGATGTAAACCTCAAAGACCATAAGGATACAGGATAAGTAGGTGGTGGACTAAAAAAAAAAAACAAATCGGGAGGAAATAAGTGCCGATTCCTTTTGTTGTTTTTAATCTTAAATGCACGACTATATGCTTAAAACCGTACACCGAAGGTCGCAAACAATTTAACGACCATCGTATGCGACGGCAAAAAGAGTCATCGTCGTTGTAGAGGCGACATCATGACAATGTTTATGTACGATTAAATGCTTTTACGTTACCTGCTATGATTGAATCCTCATACTTGTTGGTCTTTGTTTGAGTAGTGTGTCAACCTCTTTTTTCATTTTTTTTATTTTATTTTTATTTTCATGTGTACGCGTGACACAAATTGCGACGTATAGAAAGGAAGAAGAAACAAGGATAACGACAATTTTTTAACTTTTACCGCAATATCGATGCAAACCTTGGACTATACTATCCTGTACCTTCATAATTCTGATTTCCAGGTGAACAACTGTATATACCTACTAATACCTCGGGTTTTATAATCGTTAATTTTATTTGGCTTTGTTGCAAATCTGTATGTATTTAAAAATACTTCAACGCGTAAGAAATTATCACTTTGATAGGTATATGCAAGTTTCAAAAAAATGCCGTCAAACGAGAAATCCACATTTTCATCTGCAAGACGCAAAACATGCATTGGATCTATTTTATTCGCAGCCAATCGTTTAGAAAAAACACGTAACGTTGGAGTAAAACTTTAACGTTCCAGTATTGGCACAGATGGAGCCTCCTACCATTCAAGGCAAAAGTTTTAAAAATGTCTTATATCTTTCAAAGAACTAATTTTTTTTTTTTTCTTTTTTTTTTCACGGCAGTTTACGTAAAAGCAACTTGAATCACAGTTTACCGATTTTGATGACTTGCCGATTAAAAAATAATGATGCTGTTCACAATTACGGAAAGTTTCCGCGATTCGTTTCGCGTAACGATAACAAAAGAGTTAAAGTCTCAAGTTCAATAAAAATTATTGTTTAGGCAGGATTTTGGTTTCAACTTTGATCCCAATCAACAAAGAATCATGATAGCTATCTGTAAAACTACTCTGAACATTGCAAGATTTTGTAAGCACATCCTCGAATCCTCCTATAACTCGCCATTTTTCAATAACGAATTATCCATCAGTTTCGTACACTTGAAATGAAAAGAGAAAAAAAAAAAAAAATCCCAAAATTCGAACCTCGTCCGTTATATGGGTGAGCTGTGTATTACGGGAAGCCCCATGCAACCGATCCCGCTCCCGTGACCTTCGATTACGAGAGCCAGCGAAAGAGAGAAGAATGCGATTACGGCAACCGGCTCCGAAAAATCTCGTCATCGAACACCAGGCACACACAGACACGCGCAGGAGGAGGATGCGTCGAGTCCCCGGCCGTGTCGGCAAAGTTGACTCTCCGCGTCAGGTGAAAGTGGCCCCCGGGGTGAAAGCGCGAGTGCCGAGGACGCGCCGTTTGCGACCGAGTGACGTTTCGCGCGAGAAGTATTATGGTCTCGTTGCATCAGGAGAACGCCGATTTGCGTTGTTGTCGTTGTAAGTGTTTTGAAAACAAAAAACAAAAAAAAACAGCTTAAAATGATAACAATAATAATAATAATTATTTTTTAAAAAGTAGCGTCCTTGAGACTCGCGGTGAGCGCAAACACGAGCAATTACCATTCACGAGTGATGCAGGTGAGGATACAAGTATACCCTCTTGTAGGAACAAAATCACACGGTGCTTTGCTCAATGAATGGAAATGCCAGTCGGGCAAACTCGTCAAAATTCAATAAGATGCCAGCACGGGCTAAACCACAGTCAACCCCGACGATATACCGATCGCCATACGATTTTCTTCAAAAAGTATTGGCCAAATCTTCATGATGTTTTTTTTTCCTTGGACCAAATTCGCATAGCACTTGTAAATTATTTCGCAAGACGAAATCGTTCATAAAAGTGGTAAGCAGTGAGAGCTACAAAAGGTATTTTGATGGCTCGTCCCTCGAAAAATCGCGAGATGAGCTCAGACAGTGGGCGACCGCTTTACCAGTGCTGGATCTAAAATAATCTCGCGGAGCGGCTGATGGACCCCAATTGTATGCTGTCCAATTGTTTTTCGGTACAGCAGGTTTTACGATGTCGCGACAAAAAAAAAAAAAAAAAAAAAATTGCAAGGCCAAGTACACGGAGGAAAGTACCAGCTTTTGTTTTCAAGGCGCTTGTAAGGTAATTTTTAGTTCACGTAATGCGTGGGGCCGATCAATATTTATACGTTGGGGCTTTTTATTTCCAAGTATACATATATAAGAAGACGCAATACTGACACCAGTGCATCTTTTGTATAAATATTCATTATGTTATAGAAAAAAAAAAAAAAAAAAAAAAAAAAAAAAACCCCAGAAAAAACAAGAAAAAAAAAAAAAAAAAAAAAAAAAAAGAATGAAAGCCACGAGAACAAAGTGACCCTCGAGCGTGTATGTATACGCAAATGTGCAAGTTTTCGTTTTACTTTGCATAAAATGTTAGCTCCGTGGCTTACAATAACGTCTTTGTAGGAAATTACATTGAAGCAAAAAACAAAACAAAGCCGATGGTACACGAGTAAATGAGAATTCTCAAATTGAAGGGGAATTTTCCTTCGCCTCTGCTTATGCAAATCTCGAATGTTGTCCGTTTCGATTATTCGCTGGCTATAAGTACACCTACTGGCGTTTTTCGCGTTTGAAAATGCATTTATCGAGCGAAATTTTCCTCTCGACACGCACTCCCATTGTACACAGTTTACCGCGACCAAAGTCATATGAATTGCCTCTTCGACTTGACATTGAATTGTAGATCAAATTAGTGAAAAAATATAGACGTATTTCATCGTCTAGACTCATCTTGGATGATTCTTGTAATAGAAAAAAAAAATAATTTGATGCATTTTCGTGGAATTTTAAAACGTTTCACCCTAAAACTAGCGAGACGTGAGTGTCATTTTCAATTTTCGGAAGTATCATCCAACTCGAAATTCCTTTAAAAATGTAACCACAAGATTATCAAAAGTATAACCGAAACGAGATAGACCAAATCAGAAAAAATAATAATGAAGAATGTAATTTCAGCGGGACATGAGAGGGCATGAAAAAAAAAAAAAAAAAAACCACTGCACTATCGGGGAGAGAAGTCAAATGCAATGTCGCATTAATATGTTGTTTATACGCGAATTGGCGATATATACATATATATTATACCATTGTCAAGATTCGGTAACACTTCGCACGCGCTCATCAGACTTTCACATGAAGGAGGTTCTCGTTGTGCAACGAGACGGGGGAGGTGAGTTCGTCGCGCGAAAACAGGTGGCAAGCTGAATTTCGAGTGGTATGGGATACACATATACACACGATTCAATGTCATTTTTGCACAATGCCATTTTCATTTTGGAAACTAAGTATATCTAGTGCGGGAACAATAGGAAATATCATCGCACAATGTGTCGTGTGGAAAAAAAAAAAAAGGTGCCAGATAATAGTCTCGGTGGCAAATCAGACGGCAAAGACATATAGCTCTTAAAGCTTTGAAAATACGAGTATATGCATGAATGGAAACGCGAGGCGAATAAAAAAATTACACCTCAAAGAGAAAAAACCCGATCTCCAGCTTGTTGGCGCACGACTCAACAGCCCAAACGGCGAAACTTTTGCGAAAACGCCGTCACTCTATTCGCCCTCGTCATCGTCGGTGCATCAAATTCGCGCTTGGATCATGCACATGCACGTCGACGTGCAAATATTCGCGTGGTGTTTACCCCCGCGCGTATGCACGTCGCAATATAGGAAAACGAACCAAGGAAGAGAAAACATGTATGACGAGGTGTACCTATATACAACATAATTTGGATTTCGTGTCCACGCGAAGGGGCAAGCAAATATCATATACCTCTCTTTTGGGAGATGATGCACACACCGTAGATTATGTACTCATGCAAATTATATTCCAAGAAGTGCACGGATAGGCAGAAGCGAGCACGAGCCAACGATCGCTGATAACGAGACAAACCGTGGGTATAGTATAACTTCTAGCCGGTGTGCCTTCATGGAGTTGGGCGAATCGATAATTATTACAGATGCGTGTGTGTTCTGCCGACGATGGACTGATTTTGTTTGATTTCGCGAGGAGTTGTAGTTTCTCGGCAGAAGCTCGGGTAACTAGGTGTTGATCTTTGCTTTGGCGCTAACGAGCGCGGGGCCGCGTACCAGAAAAACGAGATGAATTTCCAATGCCGTTTTGCGCTAATTTTCACCTCCTCGCCATATTATTTATACATACTTACTGGTATGTATATAATTATGACACAGATACGAGGAAGACGTAATCATCTCTACTTCCGCGAAACGTTGCTGCTATCATTGCTTATTTTGCGCAAATTGTCAAAATCCGAACATTCTGGTGCAATGTATTTATTGA